CTCAGGGAGTTGGCGTAGTAATGTGGACTTCTGCGACTTCTGAAGCTGGGGGGGGGCATTTCAAAATTTTTCCAACGTCTCGCTTGACCCTAGAGTAGGAGGGTGAGAGCTCTTCTAGAAAAACAACTTCAAGAGGCAAAGAATAAGGCTGGCGTCAGACTTGGTGACCATCGCGCGAATCGCAAGTGGTGCACGCGTTTCAGTGCAAGCCAGTGCCTATTAGGCCTGAGGCACTCAAAACACACCATTTGACGCTGCCGACGCTTTATCCTGCCATTAATTATTTGATTATTTGGCCGTGTTACTTGCGTTACGACGCGAGCGACACTTGCAATTTGGCCAAGGTCGCAAACACTGACACCTCTGGTTAGTTCCAACTAATCTGCCCTGTTGAATAGCATTAACGATTTTCTTTCTACATGTGTACGTTCAGAGCAGCAAAACTGAGCATGCATTTGCTGAAAAATGACTGTATTATTTATTATTATTGTGATCTATGACTACTTTAGCTTTTGTTAGTGCACTGTAGGAATTTTCAAATTTTCAAACCTTTATTGGTAAATACTGCAAAACAAAAACTAAACGAAGAAAGGCTGACGTTCCAGTATTATCGGAAACTCAAAACATTTTGTCGGACCAATAGCTGTTGCAAATACAATAAACATACATACGCAAATCTCGATTCGTTTCAAGCTATGATCGATTACAAATGAGGCAGTCCGTGTTTGGCGAGTTGAAGCTGGCATTCTTCGTTGAACATCGTGCCCAGCTTTTCCCATGCAGCTTTTTGTTCGGCAGTCAAAGCAGTTCCACGACTCTCCAAGAATGCCATATAAATACCCCAGAAACCCTTAATAAAATGGCATAGAGTGCACCTAGGTTAATCAAAAAAGAAGTTCACGATGAGAACGAATGTCAAAGAAGTGAAAAAATGCATACTTTGGAGGCAGGCGGACCTACTGACCGATGTCAGACTCTGCGATTGGAGCGATCGGTCAAATGCCAATCGCGCGACCATCGCGCGATTCGCGCGACGATCGCGCGATTGACATGACTCCCATCATGACCAATCGCTCCAATCGCGCGATGGGCGCGATCACTCCCGTTGTGGCAGGGAGCGCAGCTCCGCAGTCAACGTATCGATCGAGGGGGGCGCGCCCCCACAACGGGAGTGATCGCGCCCATCGCGCGATTGGAGCGATCGTCATCGTCGCGCGAATCGCGCGATGGTCGCGCGATTGACATTTGACCGATCGCTCCAATCGCAGAGTCTGACATCGGCCACTGAGGGACTGACGCGCAATTGGCAGCGAAAGATCTGATCTCGGCGATCTAGCGACTCAATCTTGGCGCGGTTGGCGGGGTGAGCCCACCGACTTTCTAATCACACGGCGTAGGCAGTGAGTGATTACTACAGCAGAGAGAGCTTATTGTTGAAGAGGGCACAGCGATGCGAGTCGCATCAATGCACAAATCAACGAGCAAGGAAGAGGTCAGAGTTCTTGAGTTCCGAACAGTTTCAAATGGTTTCTTCTTCAACTGTGCACTTCGGACCCCTTCTGCCCATATTTCCAAGGAGCTAAATTTCCATCGTAAATTCTCTTTTTGATCTTTGTGCCTTCGCTAGGCACGTTGCAAAAAATAAGGGCAGATTTATGCGTTATCAGCAAAGCGTAGCCTGCCAGCAGTGAAGTAAGAAGCTCCTTCATCATTCCACAATAATGCTGAGTTGTGAGCAAAACGGTGAAAATGTAGTTTGGGGGAGTCACTCATAATAGTATCTAATCGAACTGACAATATCTAATCGAAGTGGAGCTGCGGAAGGGCGGTCATATCTAATCACCATCCAGAGCACAGTCTTCGAGTGTAGATAGTGTTAGATAGGGATACCACCCCGAGATTCCATCTAAAATTGGAGCCCTGAGAGGCCCCCTCATTGAAGGCTTCCTGTCACAAATAAGGAACAGCGATTGGAGAGGCATCCTTTACACATTCAGTTGTCCTCTATCGAACCACGCTGCAGGGGATATAACGTTCGGGGACTTATTGGCGCGCTTCAGTGGGTGGAATTACCCAACCTGCTTTTTTTTACCTTCCACCTTAGCAATCTTCCCCCCTCCCACCACTACGACATTATTGAAAAGATTTCGGGTCATTGGGAGAGGGGCTCCAAACTTTGCTGGTTGGGGACCGGCATGCTGCCGCGGGCATTTCCTCTACGCTGTCTTCACCCTGTCCCGCTCACGCCATCCGAAAGTAGGCTGCTTTCATACCTAACGGTCGATGCGGTTCGTGCGGTCAGGGTCAAGCGAGGCGTCGAGGAAAATTCGGAAATACGACCCCCCTCCCTCTGCCGAAGGCCGAAGTCCATGAAACAACCCTCTTTAAAAGCCGAACTATGAAAAAGTTGTTTAATTCTCCACCAAAACTGCTCATAAAAAAGCCCTGCTACCCCATCGTCCACAAAAAAACTCGTTTAAAAAGTATAAAAGTGAAAAAGTCAAAGAATGATCATTAATGACGAGTCCTGTCAAACGAGCAAACGAGAAACGGAGCAAAAAACGTCAAACTAGTCACTAGAAATGGCGTACTATGACAACACCTCTTCTTTGTTTATTTCCTCCACAAGACTTACCAAATTCTAGTACTACACAGATTATGGTTCTCAATTTACACGTCCCCCTTTCGCTCAAAGGAAGCCTTGTAAAAGCCTTCGCCAGCTGTGTGTTGACTGGACTTTGGCGTTGACCGTGGAGCAGCTTATTTACTATTGAAATTTGAACAAATATTCAAATGATTATAACTTTCTTCAAAGTTAACGAATTTTCAATCTGAAAGCTGATTTGGGAGTTTTGTGAAGAGCTTTTTCTAATCAGTACTGAAATTACAGGAAGTTATAAGAAATAACAAATTTAGATCAAATAACGAGGAAAATTCGAGACGAGCACGAGTTTTTACACTTTCCGGAGCAATAACTTGCTTCATTTCCGTCAAATTCAAAAAGTTGATACGTCATACAAAACTAGAAGATTTTCTCTATCAAACGGTCGCTAAAGCAGCTTCATACGTCCAGTACTCAAAAAATGGCCACGTTGAGGATTTTTGCAAAATTAACGAGGAAAATTCGTGATGAGTGCGAGTTTTTACGCTTTCCAAAGCCATAACTCCGTTCAAACTCATGCAATCTGGAAAGTTAATACGTCATCATAAACTAGAAGATTTGCTCTTTCTATAGGCAACTAAAACTGCTAAATACGTTCACTATTTAAAAAATGGCCACGTTGAGGATTTTTGCCCGAGTACCGCCGAAAGGTACTTTTTCGCTACATTAGCACTATCCCAACGACTATAGCTCCTTGCAGGAGCGATTACATACTGAAGTAGGAGCAGATTCAAAATCCTCGTGCTTTTCTCTCTGCAAAAAGTGTAAAATTGTTTAGCGGGTCTCAACTTTAAAGGTTACATGCTTGTGAATTTGACGCTGAAGGCTGCGTTTCTTGTTGATAGTGTACTCCTCTCTGTAATTTAACATGAACTCTTTCAGAACCCTCTTGATTCTTCCTGAATTAAGATTCGTTATCAAGATAGCCGTAGCTGAAGCGCGCGCAACCAACTGGGCCCACTCTGGGATGCGCCGTGTGCTTCACATCTCGTTGGATTTGAGGACCTACTTGAAAGATAAAATATCCCTAGAAAACGTGCGAATTTCGGATCCTTTGACTTGTGTGGTGATGAAACACTAAAGTCACTAAGAATTGCTAAGCGGACACCTCTAAATCACGAAGATTTTGTGTGGACGGAATCAATTGTTATTGGAAATACTCTGGCCTGGTATCGATTCGATCCTTAATGTTTGTCCTCCGACGATGATCCTACTGTATCAATCGGGCCCGATCTCTCCCCAGCGGGCCAATACGACCCCCCCCCTCTGTGACATGTCGAGGATTCCTCAACGCACGCTTGACCCTGCGTGCGGTCCGTGCCAGCGGCGCGGACGGTGCGGAGAGAGTGAAGAGCGCCAGTACGCGCACTAGCGCATGACACGTACATGGCGTACTGTCGGTGGCTTCCCGATAGATATTGAATCCCAATATTTTTTCTCTTTGTAATTTGATGACTTGTGCCGTCTTGCTTTCATTCGTGTTTTTTTTGTCTTAGACTTCTTTTTGTTCTGATTAATATTTTTCAGTTGGTCCCTTGGAAGAGTATCCTTGTCCGCTTGCACCTGAACGAGCGGTCAGCCCAGGTGAGGCCATCAGCGGGCAAAAACACCATTTCATTCATAAAGGAAAAGGTTCCAAACAAAAAAAAGCGGGAATGAAAGCAAGACAGCGCAGAACACATTAAAAAATGGAAAGGATGCATCGAAATTATGATCATCGATTGGAAGAAAACGATTGCACGCCAAGCACGCGCCAGTGCGCGTGTTGACGCTTTTCACTCCCTCCGCACGGACCGCACGTACCGCACCGGCGCACAGTATGAAATTGGCCTTAGTGGGAAACTCCGGGATAAAACCGATGTATGAGAGCGCACCATAGTGATGGATGAACTGCAAATGAACTAAAAGTGGAAAAGAAAGCAAGAAAAGCCTATCTGAAACGCTAAAATTAAAGCTTGACCTCTAGTGAGATCGAATGTACACTGGTGTGCAAAACTTAGGGACGAACGTAGCTTTTCCAACGACGTGTTACTGGCGCGTAACATGACTCTATGGAACCTAACCACACATACAAAGAGCTGCCACAGGGCACTAAAGAAAGCAGTTAACAGGAACCGTTAAACGGTCCACAAAGCTATCAAAAGTTATGATACTTCTTTCAAGTTTTGCACACCAAAGTAGTACAGCGGCGAAACAAAGCGATCAGAGAAGGCAGAACAAGCGAGAGAGCACGCCGTTCGAGAGAGTACGCTGATCTCCACATCGATGCGGTGGGTGGGAAGCGTTGCAATAAGGGCCGATGGTTGCAGTTTCTTAACGATTAGCGCCCTAACCGCGCATTTTGTGCGACGGGTGTGGCACGCTTCTGAAGGGAAGGAAACTATAAGTTTCCTCACGGTGTAAACTCTACTAGTGAGGCTAATCTCAGGGCTTGTCTTTAATCAATCCTCGACATCTTATTTCGTGATTCTAAGCAGCAAACCTTCCACAAAGCGGGATCGAGGTCTCGGCCAACGTGCCTGTCGATGGTTTCACGACAGAATGCGCGGAATACCATCTCCTGGAATGCTTTCAGCGTTTTTTCAAAGCAGATTGTGGTTAACATTACTGGTTTTGAGAATTACGTTGTCGTAAGTGTTGGCAAGGAGATGGACCGATAAAAGCAAACCAGTGCCGAGTTTCTCGAATCTGAAAAATAGCGTATAAATCCTTATTGGACGTCTCAACTTACTTCCACTGTTACCTGTCGCTTTTTTGAACGTCATCAGCGGTGAAGTTTTCGGCGCCCTTGAAATACTTGCGTAGATCCGGGTGGTTGGTGAAGAGGCTCAAGGTAGTAAATGTAATTCTAATAAAAAGACTCGACAAGGTAGTGTAGAACAAAAAGTGTAATCGCAAATTGTCATCAATTAATACATCTCCTCTTTCCGCGCGACTGCATTTATAGTTTTATCTCCTTCCTTTCTTTCCCCTTTCTTTAAGTGGATGTTTTTTTATTATTTCCCCTCTATTGCACCCTAACCACGAACATTTTGTTTCTACTCTTCAAATTCTGTTGCTTGACTTTTCCTTCCTACCGACGCATCACAAGTTCGTGACTACCCTACCACCTTTTTCGTTCTATGCGCTTTGTCGGCTCCGCCTGGAGACGTTTATATCTCCTCCTGGGGTCAGGTCACCAGCGCTGCGCGATAATTGAAACCCAAGGCGGACTCGGGTTTCTGTCTTAAGCTTAGGCTTATGTTTACACATTCGCATATGCTTGAGCCTTTGAGGCCTGGGCCTAGTCCTGAGCTTCCCTTGAGCGAATGAGTGCCACTCATTGAGTGGTGTTACAATTTTAAGTGACCTGACCTGAGAACTGCAGCACACCCAGCCCCGCCCAGGTGCCTTTCTGGCGCATCTTTTAGGGTAAGGAAGAAAACAAATTTTCGTACACAGTTCCCTCGATGGATTTTAGATCTTCGTATCAATAGCTATATGTAGTGACATGTGTTTACTTACTACTTATAGAAGTCCTTTCCATTCTGTACCTGTTCCGGCGCTCTGCCAAGTGGAACAGTTCCCAGCGATTCCATGCAAAGCTTCTTGACGTCAGCCATTCTGCAATTTGAGTGCTATCATTCTCTGCAGCACGACATCATTTTTATCACCAACGTCTCCGCAAACGCATTCGGACGCGAAGTGACGATAATACGATCCGTATAGGGAAGCCAATGATACGAAATTTGAAATTCAAATGGCCTAACCGCTCAACAATTTGCGTTTACAACGCCTAGCAAGGATTGAAAAGCTCGAACAAATGGGTGATATCTCCAGCTTCTAACTTTAGAATCTCAGCATCGCTGTTGGAACTCAATGCCTTTCTTCTGCCACCAATGTTTCTCGGTGAAAACTTCCGATCGCCAGACATGGCGAGCCTATTCCAAAAAGGGGAGCGCCATGTGAAGAAACAGAAGCGAGTGCAAAAGCAAGAGCGAAATGTTTCGAGCCGGGATTTCCTCCCCGAAAAGTTTCTCACACAGACGGCAAGAACTGGTTCTTCACATGGCGCTTCCCTTTTTGGAATAGGCTCGCCATGCCTGGCGGTCCGAAGTTTCGACTAGGTCGTCCTTCTTGAAAGCATAGTGGGATCTGTTCCAATAGGGAGTAGGCAAGCACATGATCTAAGAGCTGTGCCGTCTACAGTACCCCCAATTTTGCAGAGGAAGAGAGCTCGCAGAGGAAGAGAAAAAGAAGTTAGTGCAAAAGCAAGAGCGAAATGTTTCGAGCCGGGATTTCCTCCCTGAAAAGTTTCTCACACAGACGGCAAGAACTGGTTCTTCACATGGCGCTCCCCTTTTTGGGATAGGCTCGCCATGTCTACTACCGAAAGACCGGAAGAGCTGATACTGCGCCGTTGAAAAGCCTTGGGTTCTGAAAAATTATGGGCTATTCATAATATAAAGTTTTTACTTGAAAATCTTGGTGGCAGAAAAAATCACCAAAGCAGCAGAGAAGAATTGGAACAATTATGTGCTGCATGAAACAGGGAATAAACCACATACTTCTTTGAATTCGCTGATTAGAAGTTCGAG